GGTCTGCCGCAGGCCACGCTGGGTCTGCCGCAGGCCACGCTGGGTCTGCCGCAGGCCACGCTGGGTCTGCCGCACCGCTTGTGCAGGCCCTCAGGCTTTCTAGGACATGCGAGAGTGCAACAGCCTGTAGCCTAGGAAGCAAACTGGGCGGCACGTACGAAGGAATCAGATCCAGCCCCATGTGCCTCATCTGTGCTGGCTCTGCAGGGCCAAGAGCAGCGAATGGTTTAGTCACTAAAGGCATCAGGCTTGCCCCCTGGTAAGCCCATGAAGCAGATTTGAGTGAACAGGGGCTGTTTCTCTTGTCACTCTCAGATGAGCTGGGTGCTTTAACTGCAGTTCCTGAGATCCCCTGGATGTCTGTACGCCCTCTGCACGTGGCACTGTAAGACTGTCAACAAGAGTGAGACTCTGAAAGGCTTTCACATGCCGCTTTCATCAGTGCTTATACCCTTGATAGTGGCTTTGGATTCCACCGCACAGCTTCTGCCTAACGTGGCGCCTTGCTCAGGCTGACCAGATCCTGTCAAATGCCGGCTTTATATCTCTCACTGTTTGTGCTTCTTTCAGAAAAAGGACCCAGCCCAGTTCCTCCAAGTGCATGGCCGGGCGTGTAAGGTCCACTTGGATTCTGCCATTGCTCTTGCAGCTGAAAGTCCAGTCAACATGTGAGTAGCTTGAGTGGGCCCCGCCTGCTAGTCCTGCACTGACAAGCTGGGGGCATAGTGAAGCAGATGGGGGATTGTTGCTTGCAGGCCCTCAAAGGGGCAACATCAACTTGCTTTCCCTCCTGTGTGGCCGTTGTTCTAGTGGGCAATGTTCCCCCTAATATTCTCCATCCATGTGTAGAATTCATTTTGTTGTGTTCACCAAAGCATGTGCAGATGCGCACGGGCAATAGGAACACTTGCTGCTGGCTGAAGAGGCTGTGGGCACTCTGCTAATCTGCTGGGTGGCGTTTAACTCTCTTGGGAAGCCGCTCACTGCTAGTGGGATCCCTGAGGCAACTGAGTGAAGAAGAAGGGGAAGGACTCTAGTGTATTCCCCTTTGCCTGGGCTTTTGTGCATGGTCAGTGATGCTGGCGCCCCTCTGTGGTGAGATCCTTTCCCTCATGTTCACAAAGCACTGTAGAAATCTCTTGAAAAGGGGGGAAGAAGTTGCCATAAACCCCCCAGAATTAGTGGGAGCACATTGCACCTTTAACTGGTTAACATTTTAAACAGGATTTTACATCCCTAGTAACAAGTAAAGGTTCAGGTGTAGGGCCCTACCAAATCTACGGCTGTGAAAAATGAGTCATGGACCATGAAGTCTAGTGTGTTGTGTGCTTTTATCGCATTTTATACAGGTTTCACAAGGGAGATCAGTATTTCTCAGACAAGGTCCTGACCAAAAAGATGGATGTGAGGAGAAGGTTGCAAGGTTGCAGGGTGGTTGTGGTATTGTACCCTTACTTCTGTCTGCCTTCAGAGCTGGGCAATCAGAAAATATTGGTTGCTGGCCAGGCACCCAGCTCTGAAGGCAAGACCACCAGCAGCAGTGCAGAAGTAAAGGTGGCTGTGGGTGGCCAAAGAGTTGCAGCTGCTGGCGGTGGGCCCAGACGTAAAGATGGCAATACTTTATCATGCCATGCTTGCATCTGCGCAGGTGTTGGCAGTGACATGGCCTCCAGAGATGGGTTCCTGGCCAGTAGCTGCTGCTGTCTGGGTGCCCAGCTCTGAAGGCAGTGCTACCAGCAGCAGCGCAGAAATAAGGGTGCCATAAGCCCCTGAGAATAAGGGTGCCATAAGCCGCCACCCTCTCCCCCCCTCCCCACAATTCTCTTTTAGAACAGGACCCTGGACAGTTACAACATTGTGAAATTTCAGATTTAAATATCGAAAATCATGAAACTGACCATGATTAAACTCCTATGATCATGAAATTGACCTAATTGGACTGTGAATTCAATAGGGCCCTATACATGAAGCCTTAGCCAAACCTTTCTGTGGCGCTGGAGTCCTGCAGCAGGCTTGTTGATGGATGGGAGACCAGAGGGAACAGTTTTCTCTGGCACAGGACATTTTGTTTGTTCATTTGTGAGACGATGGTTTGATGGGAGACTGTCCAGACTCAGACCCGCCCTCCTCATGGCTCCTTCTGTTTCTTTATCTTCCCTGAGGTGAGTTGGCCTCTTTTCAAGTTGAGGCAAGTTCAGAGATTCCTCACACCTTGGGGTGGGGCAAGTGCAGCATCCTGCTGGAGAGGGGTGTCTTGGAAACCATTCTCTGCCTGGGTTTACCTTCAGGAGAAGCAGGAACAGCCAATTGGCTCTTCCCCACTCTTGCGGGGCACTCATTGATGGGTAGGCAGCAGTGTTCCCTTTAAGCTGTGTGCTCATGCAGCTGCTTAGAACAGATTCATGTGTTGCCTAGATGATTAGCAGGATGCCCACGGCTCGTTTTTGTGTTTCTGCTAGTGTTGCACGGTCACATACGCTTTGGTAAGCACACAAAATGTATTCCACACATGGCTGGAAAAGGTTAGAGGAAACAATGGAGGTCAGTCAGCTGACTGCTGTGGTCTCTGCGCTTCATTGGAGGAATGGGCATGTCCAACATCTTTCTGCTAGCTGGCAAGTCTGAGCGAAATACACGGGAACAAGGAGTTCTGAGACGTCTGGTTCTGTTCCCTTGTCCTCCTGAGTGCTCAGTGCTCCCTAGTGGTTTCCAGTGGAGGAAGCACACTATGCAGATAATTCCTAGTGTTAATAATGAGCAGAGCCAGAGCCCCTTCTCCAGCACTTTATGTAAAAGGACCCCCCCGCCCCTCCCCCAAGCCCAGGCTTGCCCTTGGCAGCATCTTTAAGGAGATACCTGTTACACACGACGTTCACTTTTCTTCCTCCCCACTGGGAGAGGGAGTGCAGGATGAAAGCCCAAGTGCACCTGTGTCTTTATGCTGCACTACTTCTCCTGCCTGGGGTGAAGAACAAAAATCTCAAAGGGAGGGTGCTATGGCTCGGGATAATGGGTTTTAATTTAGGTGGAGTGAGTTGGTCACAGTCACCAGTGGTCATGTGATCTGGTTAAAGACGATTCAGGGTTTGGTATAGAGCGAGCCCTGCAGGGATAGAAAGGGCTACAGGTACGTATAGCCACAGACAGACATTGGGATCTGCAGAGTTCCACTCCCAGGAGCCACTGCAACCAATGGAGACACGTGTGTGATGTCATCGCTCCTGGGAGCCAGTGCCCTGAGCTGTTAGCTCCTCCAGGCAGCCTGGATGCCTTGGACCCCCCCTCCCCCTCCAACCACAGTTTCTCCTGCTTTGGTTTGTACAGCCCCACTGTTGGCAGGGCTGGGGGCAGTGCAACTGTGCTGCTGGAAAGAGCTGCCAGAGTGGGCGCTGGGACCACGCTCCTCTCTGTCCATGGGTATAGAGACATCAGTATCTTTAGTGCCGTGATAAACATACATTTAAACATCTCTGTAGCCTTTTGTTAAAGATACAGAAATTGTAGAAACAGGTGAAGCATATGCAACGTAAAGTATTGAGTAAAGCTTTTATTGCAACAACCTTCCTTGTTCCCTGTCACTGGGGACCATTTTTAGAAGGGGAAAAAACACTTGTCTGACGGTTTCTTAGAGGATATCAAAGATAATTGTTCTTGTTGGAGACAAAAGCAAAACTGGGCTGCAGCTGTTAAGGTCTGATCCTGCTGCCTAGAAGACAAGAAAGATACTGCTGGAAAAAACATAAGCACAACACATCATCTTATCAGCCTCTTTAAGACCCCGTACCAGCATCTGGCTGTTTAGGGCCTTGATCTGATCTGTCTGATCACAGGCTTACAGAATATACAGTCTTTGCCTGCTAAACGAGACTCTTATTAAGCAGCAGGCACAGAGCGAGGGATGGGAACGAGAAGATGTAAGGCAGAGGAGGATAAGGATGCTCCAGGAGGTGGGGAAGAATAATTTCTCATCCCAGCTAGGGTTCAGGATTTAGCTGGTGGAAGTGGCTCTGTCATTTGGGTCCCTCTCTTTGGCCTGGTCTGGTCAGGACTTCTTTTGGGATTAGAACATCCAAGGCTCAACAGTCATACGGTGGCTCCCAAAGTTTCCAGAGATGGTGGCATAGCAGCCATCACTCTTTGCTTTAGTCACCCGGCATTGTCCTTGTTGATTTTTTTTTTTCTCTCAAGAGTCTTTCTTTTTGAGGTCTCCGAGATGGAGTGATGGGAGGAATAGTACACCCCTTAGTTACTTTGGTCATCAGTGAGCACTAGTTTGGGGTTATTGATTTCAGGCCCTACACTTTTTTGTTTACCAGGCTCAATATCTGTTTCACGTACTTGAATTAAGAGGGCCTTTTCAGACTCATTTTGTTTTTGTCTCTCTCTTCAGCACCTCTTCCTATTGACAGTCATTGTTATGGGCTATCGTGGGAGTCCCACACCTCCCTACATTCTGGGCCCCTCTTGTCCTTCCTTAGTTCCAAGGGTGCCAGGTCCACATTGGTTTATCCACTTTGCCACAGTTAGGCGTATCTCTGAGGTGGGCGTATCTCTGAGGACGACCTTCTGGGGTCTCTTCCAGTTCTATGATTCTATGATAAGGGGATGGTTGGATGAAATAACATGATCTTGGTAACTAATTGACCATTCATTATCAGTTGGAAATAGGTCAATGGAGGGATGATAGGAGTTGCTATAGGGAACTTTCTGGGTGTCTGGTTGGTGAGTCTCGCCCACATGCTCAGGGTTTAGCTGATCGCCATATTTGGGGTCGGGAAGGAATTTTCCTCCAGGGTAGATTGGCACAGGCCCTGGAGGTTTTTCGCCTTCCTCTGTAGCATTGGGCACAGATCACAGCTGGAGGACTCTCTGCATGTTGGGTCCTTCAAAGTATTTGAATGCTTCAATATCTTTGATATAGGTGAGAGGATTATTCTAGGAGGGGTGCGTGAGATTCTGTGGCCTGCACTGTGCAGGGGGTCAGACTAGATGATCATAATGGTCCCTTCTGACCTTAAAGTCTATGAGTCTATAAGGCTCTGATTGCCACTACAGGCTGTCTGCGGCTAAGAGCATGTCCTATTGTGTACCGTGCAGCAAAGCAGGTGCATGCTGCATTGGATCTAGACTGAGTGCCCCAGTGCATCTGGCTTCCTCTTGGTAGCAGCTTGTTTTGCCAGCAGGTATGCAGTTGTACCCACCTGAGCTGCCAAATGACCTTGTTTTGTCTGTTGTTCTCTTGCCTGCAGGATGCCCTGGCAGGGGGATACGAATAACATGATTGACCGGTTTGACGTGCGTGCTCATCTGGACTACATTCCTATGTATACCCCGCCACTGCTCAACCCAATGTAAGCCAATTCCATGGAGTGCTGCTTGTGAGCGCCACTCCAGAAACCCCCAGCCTCTTCCCTTCCAGCGGGGCACAGGATGCTGGGGGCTCAGTGCAGAGAAATGGGGCTCGGGAGCGTTCTGTGGCGGCGTTATCCCTTCCAATATAAGGGTTGGTGTTTGTAAATGTCACATTACCCCTGACATGCCAGGCTGTCCCACACTGGTGATGAACTACAGTGGGTTGGCCCAGCACACATCTGCTTATCACATCTCTGAAGGACCCTGTGGCACTGGGATTCCATGTTTCTGATCGGTTCTGGGTGGAATGTGCTTGGCTGTCACGTAAAAAGCCACCTACCAGCTCTGCAGACCCGCCCGGGCTCGGACTCATTCCAGGATCTCTTCACATCATTGCTGTAGAGTTCTGCCAGACCAGTCAGGGCCCCAGGACAGCTCCATGGCCTTGCCCGGTGTGACTGATGAGCACAAAGCAAGCAGGGCTGCTGCGGTTGAAGAAAAGATTGGATCCAGCTCTGTAGCGCTAAGGAAAGCCAAAATCAAGGCTGGCGGGAGGATGTGAAGCCAGCTGAGATGGGTGCTTCTAGGGAGCAGAGCTGAGCAGAAAGATCTGTTTACAGAGCCCGTTTTGGAGCAGAACGTCACTAAATGGGGTTTTCTCTTGACCATCTGATCTCTAGTACATCCAGCTCTGACCCCAGCATTAAAGGGGCTGAGACAGGGTTGGGCAATAATTTTTGCAAGGGGGCACTTAATTTTGGTACATGGTCATGGGCTTGCTCCTCCCCCTCTTTCACCTGGGTAAGGGGTGGGGCTGGGGACTAGCCTCCTCCCAGAGTTGTCTGGAGCCAGCGGCTTTGAATTAAAAACACAGCAAAGGGCTCCTGGCCCCCAGCCCCACCGCTCCTGTATTGCCTGGCAGCTGCCCGGGGTTGCTGCAGTTGTGACCGGAGCCCTTTCAATAGCCACAGCTCTGGGCAGTTGCCAGACAACGTGGTAGCAGCAGGGCTGGGAGCCACAAGCCCTTTAAATTGCAGCTATTTAATGGGTTTGCAGTTCCCGGCCCCATTGCTTCCATGTTGCCTGGCAGCTGCCCGCAGTTGCTGCGGCTGTGTAAAGTCTTACGACTCCTGCCTCTGTTGGGGTAGTGCTGGAGTCAAGAGCCATTTAAATAGGATCTTGCTGCCTTAGCCCCCACCTGGATATTTGGAGGTACAGCAGCAGGATATAACTAGGAAGCAGTCAGATGCTGTCCACAGACCAGATCAAAGTGTTAGGTGGGCCAGATCCAGCCCCCAGGTCACATCTTGTCCAGCCTTGGGCTGAGATCTACCTTAGTGTACAAACGAGGTTAGAATTGCCCAAGCAGGTGACTTTGTCCCTGCACAAACCTGCCCAGGGGCCCCTGCTTCCCATCCTGCTGTGGAGAGCGCTGCGTTGGGTGGGGCAGGGCTGAAGGTGGATTTATTTGGGAAGTGGCCAGTAGACTCCTCGATGGGTTCCCTCCCTGCAGCCCTCCATTTGCTGTTCCTCCCGTCCGGACGCCAGGCTCTGCAAAGTCTAGTCTGACGTCTGCAGAAACAGTTTCAATAATTTTCACCAGCCAGCTCTCCCCTCTGAGCTTGTCTTCGCTGAGCTTAATGTTCCTAAGCCAAGTCGGCTACAAGTGGGGACGATCCTGCATCTGTCCCAAATACTCCAGGTTTCCCAAAACTCCAGGTGTGTCGTCCCCTGTGAAACTTTAGGCCGGTGGGCTTCAGGGGTGGGAGAGCCATGCCAGCTTTGTAAAGGAAAACCGGCTTCATCCTGCTAATGAAGACTCATGTGTAACGGGGCAACCTCCTGCGGAATTCTGTTACAGTCCATGGAGGTAATTGCTACACGGGGACAGCCAGCAGGGGTTTCACGTCACACTGAAGGGTGGAGTTCACACAATGCAACCTCAGCTTCTTGAGGGTCCAATTTCCATAAACACTTTGTTCAGCTGAGACTTGGGAGCAATGTTCCCTCTAATCTTTTCCATCCCCATGCAGATTTTTTTCATCCATGTGCAGAATAAATTTTTCTATATGCACTGAGGCATGTGCCAATGTGCACCACCAGTAGAAACAAAAAACCCAGTTGTGAGTGTTCTGCTCATCAGCTGGGCGACATTTGAATTGGGGTTGCAAGTGTGGACCTGAGCACCCGGTTAACTGATGAGGCACCTCCCTCTGTATCGGAGGCAGTGGTCAGGGGGGAAGTGGAAGCTTTTAAGCTCCCCGCACATGCCAGCTGCCGCGGAGCAACCTGCACCCCCTGCTGCATGCCACAGAGACAGCAGAGTGGGAGAGGAGAGGCAGGTGGGAGCCAGCACACAGGAGGGAGGACAGACGGAAGCCGGTACATGCAAGGAGCCAGCTCCCTGCACGTGCTGCTGCCTCCAGTAGGCAGTGGGGAGGGGGGAGGCAGTGTGGAACAGGAGCCGGTGCTCAGCTCTCTCCCCCTCTGGTGTGTAAATGTGAAATCACGGAAAAATAACGTGTAACCACTAGGGATGTTAAATTGCGATTAACTAGCTAATCGAGTAGTCAATGGGATTTCTATCAGCTACTCCGTTAGTCAATGGAAGGAGCACTCGCTGCCCCCACTGTGACGCAGCGGCCCAGCTCCTCCTACATTTAAACTGCAGGGGGGTGAGCTCCTGGGGCAGCGTGAGCCGGAGCTAAACAGTCCCAGCTTGTGCCAGCCCCAGGAGCTAACCCTGCTGTACTTCTGCCTTTTAAATGTAGGAAGAGCCGGGCGGCTCTGCTATGGAGGCAGCGGGGGGAGAGGGAATGCGAGGGGTCAACTCGGCTACTCCTTTACATCCCTAGTAACCACCGGTTAAACATTTACACAAACACATTTTCACGTCCCTATTTTGAATCTCCCTGAGCAGCTGCACAAGCCCGTAACTTACAGGAAACACTGCTTGGGGGCCTGAATCTCAGGTGGAAACGGGAGGTGGGCTGCTTCTGGACTGGTCACCCAGAGCTTTGTCCTGTCTGAGCAGTTGCCTCCCAGTGTCAGTGCGTGTTCTTCTCTCTCAGCTCTCCCGAGCAGGAGTCAGACGAGAGGAAGTGTAACTACGAACGCTACAGGGGCCTAGTGCAGAACGACTTCGCCGGCAGTAAGTGTCTGACCCTGGGGCAGCGTGGGGAAGAGAGGCTGGCTCTGGCGAGAGGGGTCAGCTGGCAACAGCAGCGCATGATTCCTGACACCACTCTGAGCGGCTTTCTGCTCTGCTCTGCCAGGAGCCCCTCAGGGAGGGAGGGAGCCCCTCGTTGTCCCCCTCCTCCCCCCCATGGCCCACTTGGTTCTTTGCAGGGAATAACAGTGTGAGGGCAGCAAGTGCACGTCACCCTAGGGGGCCTTGTCACGAGATGGGCACTCACCCCCACAGCCCCTCCCACTGGTCATTCTGGGAATGAGCCCCCCTGCCTCAGAGCGCCCTCTGCTGGTTGGTGTCCCAGCCTCTGATGCAGGTCTGCTGGTCCAGCTCCCTGTCCCTTCCTGCCCATGCTTTGGGGTCTTCCCCTCCCAGGGAGCCCCCAGTTCCCCAAGACCCACCTTGCCTCAGTGGCCCATGGCCAGTTATTAGCCCCTGCCACAGGGCAAACTGCAATCTGGAATGGCCACTCCTCATTGGCTAGGGGCGTGGACCTGCTGCCTTTGCCTATCCTGGCTGCCTCCTTAGTACCCTCAAGCCTTGCCTCAGGCCCTGCAGCCTGGGAGTGAGGTCAGGCCAAGGCTCACCAGGTCTGCCTGCCGCTGTCTCAGGAAGCCTCTGCTTCCCTGGCAGCCAGGTCCCTCCTGCTCTCCAGCTGGAGCAAGAGTGTCTCCTTCCCTTCCCTCCAGGAGCCCCTATTTACACAGCCCCTGCTCCTTCCTAATTGGCTGTATCTGCTTCAGCTGCAGGCTCCACCCAGGGCTGGGTTTTAACCCTTAAAGAGCCAGCAAGGGGCAGATGCCCTGTCACAGGCCTCAAGCAGTCACACCTGACACAGCTTTCAGCCGCTCCTGGGCAAGGCTGCGTACCAAGCAATGACTTCTAGGATTCAGGCTCAGCCCTGTACGCCTACTCACCTCTGGTTTTCTAGGCAGGAATCCTGCTCTGCCCGTGTGGTTTGGTGATGCCCACAGGAGAGACTCTCTCTTACCTGTGCCACCTGGAATGAGCCCTTGTCTAGCTGGCATCAGTGTTTGCCCTCAAGCCAGCATGTAACTCCTTCCGTCTCTCTGCCTGCAGTCTCAGAGGAGCAGTGTCTCTATCAGATCTATATTGATGAGCTCTATGGGGGACTCCAGAAGCCCATGCCCGTGTGGTTTGGTGATGCCCACAGGAGAGACTCTCTCTTACCTGTGCCACCTGGAATGAGCCCTTGTCTAGCTGGCATCAGTGTTTGCCCTCAAGCCAGCATGTAACTCCTTCCGTCTCTCTGCCTGCAGTCTCAGAGGAGCAGTGTCTCTATCAGATCTATATTGATGAGCTCTATGGGGGACTCCAGAAGCCCAATGAGGCCCCCCAGGCAAGCTTTGGAGGGTACGGAAGTGAATGAACATCGTGTCCCAGGTGGGATTAGAACAAATAGCTGCTGCTTTTTGAGCCCCATCTTTCTGGGCATGGCGGGGTGTCAGCCCTTCCTCTCTGCCCTGCCCCAGAATTAGGCTTGCCAGGGACTGTGGGAGTGGCCAGGCTGATACCTGATGCTGCAGAGGAAATTCTCCCCTCTTCCTGAATAATAAAGCTGCTGGAGGAGACCCTGTGGAGCGCAGCTTGTCCTGAAGCCTGAGACTGGGTCATTGCTGCCTCACTGGCAGCATCCCGCCTAGTCAGGCAGCGTGCGGGCTGCTGGCCCAGGGCCCAGAGGAGGGAGGAATCCCAACCTGCACTTGGGAGAGGTGGGAGATGAAGAAAAGGCCCCTTTCTCCTCGTGCTAACTTGCTTTGGGTTTGACAGAATCAGGGCAACATGGGGTCAACAGAGCAGCCTTTGGGGAGTAGGGACGGCTGGTGCTGCAAGGCTCCAGGGACATCGGGTGGGTGCCCAGTGCCCTGCCTGGCAGCCCGCGGTTACCGCTCTGCTTTGTGTCCAGGCTTGCGGAGAAGAAGGCATCGATTGGCTACACGTATGAGGACAGCACAGTGGCCGAGCTCGAGAGCTCCTTGGAGAAGCGGGGGGATGAGGAGGACTCTGAGGAGGACAGCAACACGGACGAGGACGAGGTCATTCCAGACATTGGTATGTCACTTGCCCAGGCAGCCCTGCCCTTGGGAGATCACCTGGCCAGGCTGCTTCAGTGTCCTCTTGTCCCTCTCTCTGGCGCACAGAGCTGTGCCGTTCGAGAATCAACTCCCCAGTGTGCTGGGCACACGCTCGGGTGTATCTGTAGGGGAGGGAGGGGAGGATTCAGGGTGTTGCAGTACAGTCGTTCCTGGCTGTGCGGCGTCCTGGTGAACTCTGGCCAGTCCTTTCCGGCCCTGTCCGCCCTTCATGCGTAGGTGGGTGTTTGGAGGGGCCTGGGGTTCTGGTTGGGGTTGTGCTCTGTCCCCTCCCCTCCTTCCGTGCTGCTGCCTCGGGGCTGGGAGTCTGGTGGCCTGCTTTGGAGCCCTGGGCTGGGCAGAGCTGCCCTTGCGCCTAGAGCTGAGCTCAGCTAAAGCTGCTGCCGCGTGTTCACTGGCGAGGGTACTGTCCAGCTCCTGTCCTGTCAGTGGGTGGAGGACCACTCTGGGGGCATGTGCACTGAGCTCAGTCCTGGAAATGGCCCCCCCGAGAGGCCCAAGCAAGTCTTGTGGGCCCCATGTTACAAATCTCAGCTGTACTGTGGTGCAGCAGAAACAGCCGAGCAGGCCCTGAGAGAGCAGGCCAGCCCAGCAGCCATCCCTGAACGCTGGCGGAGCCTGCAGGCACACTGACCTCGCTTCTCTGCTTGCAGATGTGGAAGTTGACGTGGATGAGTTAAATCAGGAGCAGGTGGCTGACCTGAATAAACAGGCGACCACATATGGGATGGCCGAGGGCGACTTTGTCAGGTACAGCCTGTGTGCAAGTCGGGGCCGGGAGCCGAGCTCCAGACACACCCCCCTTGGCTTGGAGAACTTCGGGCACCCTGGGGGTTGGATGGCCATAGCTGCAAGAGCCTTGGGTGGCCACAGAGGGGGCTGTGGCTACTGCAGGATGCAGGGGCAGATGGACCCCTCTGGCTTGGCACCTGTGGCAGACATGGCTTGTGTGAAGCTGCCCCTCTGCCCACAAGCACGGAGAAGGTTGCTTTGGGGCTGGTATGTGCAGCTGTCTGGATCCTGCAGGTATCAGTAAGAGGCTGGGGCAGCCTCAGGGCAGTCCTGTGTGTTGGGCTGCCTGCTCTATCCCTTGCCAATGCTCCTCAGCACTGCTCCCGTCGAGGGGTGAAGCATCTGGCCCAGGTTGTGGGAAAGCCAGGGAGAGGGGCAGGTTAAATGCTGATGCACCAGGGACTGCTTAATTAATTTGAGTGTTAGGACCTTTGGATGGCACCTGTCCTGCTTTCCGGGGCAGTCCAGATGCTGCTGCTCCAGCTGCTCCAATATGGCACCGCTGGTACCGTTCCATTTGAGACCCGGCTTAGCCCTCGACTCTTCCATTGAAGGCCCGAGTGCTTTGGGACCAGTCATTGTGCTTGAGGGGCTGCAACAGGGTGGGGGCAGGGCAGCAGCTGGTGCCTGCCAGCACCTGTTGTGGCAGTGACGTCCGTGGGTCGCCGCGCTGTGTACCTCCGTCCTGGGGCTGGGCTGGGCAGGTCTGAGCTCTGGGAACAGCCATGCTTAGCCGTGTTTCTGTCCTTTTCTGGAAGGATGCTGCGGAAGGACAAAGAGGAGGCCGAAGCCATTAAACACGCCAAAGCCCTGGAGGAGGAGAAAGCAATGTACTCGGTAAGGAGCAGCCCTGGGGGAGGGCTGCCTCAGCAAAGCCTCTTCCCAGCCCTGCTCTAGCTGCTGCCCGTATGTCCCGAGCCCAGCAAAGCTGCCTTCTCCATAGGTCAGCACAGCCCTGCTTCCAGAGGCTTAGCACTGGGGTGCAGAGGTTTAACAGACCTGGCCATGTGAGCCGGGACTCCCCCCAGCTCAGCCCAGAGGAGCTGGATGGGGGAGACTGTCATTTTCCCACCTCCAGGTACTGGGGTAGAGCCGGGGGAGAGTGGCATAGAGAGTTGGCCTATAAAGTTTGAGGCTGAAACCAAGCTGAGAGGGATTGCAAGAGCTTTGGAGGATGGGATGAAAACTCAAAATTGTCTGGACAAAGTGGAGAGATGGTCTGAGGTAAATAGGACGAAGTTCAATAAGGACAAATGCAAAGCGCTTCACTTAGGAAGGAACAATCGGTCTCACACATACAGAACGGGAAGTGACTCTCCAGGAAGGAGTCCTGCACAAAGGGATCTAGGGGTCACAGTGGACCACAAGCTAAATAGGAGTCAACAGTGTGACACTGTTGCAAAACCAAAAATCATTCTGGGACGCGGTAACAGGAGTATTGTAATTCTTTTCCTCTGCTCTCCGTTGATAATACCTAAGCTGGAGTAGTGCGTCCACTTCTGGGCGCCACGTTTCAGGAAGAATATGGACAAATGGGAGAAGGTCAACAAAAATGATGAAAGGTCTAGAAAACATGACCTGTCAGGGAAGATTGAAAGAATTAGGTTTGTTTAGTTTGGAAAAGAGAAGATAGAAATTGGATGTAGCAGCTTTCAAATATCTAAAAGGTTGTTTCAAGGAGGAAGGAGAAAAATTGTTCTCTCCAACCTCTGAGGACAGGACAAGAAGCAATGGGCTTAAATTGCAGCAAGGGAGGTTTGGGTGGGACATTAGGAAAAATTCCTGCCTATCAGGGTGGTTAAGCACTGGAATAAATTGCCCAGGGAAGCTGTGGAATCTCCATCCCTAGAGACTTTTTAGACAAAACCTGTCAGGGATGATCTAGATCGGGGTGGCTAACCCGCAGCTTGCAATCCTCATGCCGCTCTTCACCCCTTAAAGTGTGGCTCGTGAAGACTCCCCTGCGGCTCGCTAAGCCCTCACCCTTCCATGCGCTCCTACAAATGGCCCTCGGCTCCCTGTGCTCACCGGGTGCAGGGGAGCCGCCCAGCACGGCTAGGTGGCATTGGCTGGCGGGAGCCTGATGTGTCCAAAAAGCCTTAACCCATGGTTTTTAAAGGGACAGCACCTTCTTTTGCTGAAGAACACTGGCTGGACTCTGGGGGGCTGGTGGGGAGCGCTTCCTTTTTTGGGGGAGAGGTTTTGGTGCAGCTCTTCACATTTTTTCCACCACTGTTTTGGCTCTCTTCGCTTAATGGGTTGGCCACCCCTGATCTAGATGGTCCTGCCATGAGGGCAGGGGACTCGACTTGATGACCTCTGGAGGTCCCTTCCAGTTCCAGTTATCTATGATTCTGTGAAGTGCTGAGCCCTGGTCTGGGAGTTTCTGGCAGGCTTTCATCCCCCGCTGAGCTCTGGGCCTTTCTCGTCTAGGGCCGTCGCTCTCGCCGACAGAGGAGGGAGTTTAGAGAGAAACGCTTAAAAGGAAGAAAAATCAGCCCTCCAAGGTAAGGCGGTGATGGCCGAATGTGCCCCGGCAGCAGGCTAATCAGCCAGGGGCTGGCGAGCAACGGAGCACTGGGGTAGGGCCTCGGGCACTGGCTGTCGTGGGTGCAAGGGGCTGAGCTGAGCTCTGGTGTCCCATGTCTGGCCCCTGCCGCAGTGTCCGGGCAGCTCCCCCAGCCCCAAACACAGCAACTCCTTCTGGAATCACGGTTCTTTCCAACAACTGGGACACTGCTAGTGCGAGCTCACCACAGTCCGCTGGGCACCTTGAGCGGGGCTGGCCGTGCGAGGTTCCTTTGGCCAGGCAAGTTGGGGAGTCCTCTGCTCTCGCACAATTGCGTGAGACTGTGAACTGGTAGAATCATTAGCTCTGTCCCTTAGGACCTGGGGGCGACTTGCTTAGCTCGAGGGGCTCCTTGTGCTTCTCTCCCTGTCTGGACTCCCTCCTCTGAACACCTTTAGCGGGGGGCTGGTTCTCACCTCTGCACAGAGCCAGCACGGCTGTGTGCATCAGGGATGCTGTCCCTGTCTGGGAGCGGCCTCTGCTCTCACTAAGCCTCCAGCTTGTGCCTGCAGAGGTGGTGGTGGGGGTAGCTTTGCTCCGCTTCCTGCACTGCATGGGACCTGGGAAAAGGGGAGCGGGGTGGCTGTGCTGCCAGCTGGTCACCCTGCAGCGCCCCTGACCGCATGGCGAGCTGCACACCATGGATCTCGCCACGGGCTCTCCTGACCTATTCTCTCTTTGCAGCTACGCGCGGAGAGACAGCCCCACGTACGATCCCTACAAACGGTGAGTGCCCGCAGCCGCTGGGCCTGGCTTGCCGAGTCTGTGCGCTTCCATCCCTCCTGGGAGAGAGGTCTCTGCAGCCACAGTCCCTGCAGATTTTTGGAGCTGATGGGCTATGGCCACTTCTAAGGCGGGACAAGGCAATAAGCAGCCCACAGGCTGGATGCGGGTCCCCAGGGTCAGCCCCAGCGGGCCACTGGCACTTGATTTACCTGCACTTCTGCAGGTAGCAAGTACGACTGCTTGAAGCTCCCATTGGCTGTAGATTGCCGTTCCTGGCCAATGGGAGCTGCCGGAAGCAGCACGGACCAGGACGTCGCTTCCTGCAGCTCCCATTGGCCGAAAACAGCAATCTATAGCAAATGGGCGCATCAAGTGGCTGTACCTGCAGAGGCGCAGGTAAATAAAGGGCCCACCTCTGTTGTAAGGGGTCCTTGATGTGGGGAAAGGCCAGCTGGAGCTGTATTATGGTACATGCTGGGGCTGCTGCAGTAGGATCCAGTAGGGGTCCAGAAGCTGCATCCACCCAGTGCGTACTGCCCTCTGGTGGAGCCCGTGGCAGGTGCCACCTCCCCCAGTAAAGCAGCGCTGTCATTGTTCCCAGGTCGCCTTCCGAGTCTAGCTCTGAATCCCGCTCCCGCTCCCGCTCGCCTTCCCCCGGCCAGGAAGAGAAGAGCAGGTTCATCACCAGCTTCGGGGGCAGCGACGAGGAGGCAGCTGCCGCTCAGGCCGGAGGAGTGCCCGGGAAGGCTGTCCCCCTTGGCAAGCCGCGCTCCACCCAAGTGCACCAGGGCAGCGCTGCAGCAGGTCATAGCGTCTCCTCCCGGTCGGTAACTCCCCCGTCTGGCTCGCTTTCCCAAACCTTAACACCAGAGACTCCGCAGGGCTCCCGGCCCATCTCCACCCTCAGTGCCCCCGATGGCTCCATGCCAATCTGCCGCCCGGGAAGGCTGTCCCCCTTGGCAAGCCGCGCTCCACCCAAGTGCACCAGGGCAGCGCTGCAGCAGGTCATAGCGTCTCCTCCCGGTCGGTAACTCCCCCGTCTGGCTCGCTTTCCCAAACCTTAACACCAGAGACTCCGCAGGGCTCCCGGCCCATCTCCACCCTCAGTGCCCCCGATGGCTCCATGCCAATCTGCCCTGCCTGGAGATGCTGCCCAGTGGCAGGGGGTTGCAGCCCCCCCCTTTCTCCCGGCATCCTCGTCAGCCCTGCTGGCAGGCTGCTGTGTGGGTGGCCGATCGGGGGCACTCAAGGGGACTGAACCGGAGGCTTGTTTGCAGCCTGGAAGGCCCTGAATAGCCAGAACCTTGACTTAGGGGGGGAGCTCCAGGGAGTAGCACCTTTTGGCATGTCAGACTTCAGGCCATGGGGGATCTGGCAGCAGGAAAGGGGCAGCTCTCCTCCTTGCCCACAATATCCCTTCCTCTTCTCACCTCCCCCACCCAAGTTGCTGTAGTTCTCCCTCCCTTCCGGTGCCCAGCCCCTCTCAGCGCATTGGCTGGTGCCAGCTCCCTCTCTGGACAAGCAGGGCCTTTGAGCGCCCACAGGCTTGTAAAGCGCCTACTGTGCACAGTGTAGACCAAGCTTGTGCTGCCCGCAGGGCCTCAGCTGAGTCATTGCTGGGGCCTGGCTGTGGCTAGCTAGCCTGAGCCAGAGGCTCCATCTCCGCCCTGTTCCGCTGCTCTTGGCCCAGGCTGTCAGGAGACAGAGCTGCAGACATGCTGAGTGGTGCCCTCAAACTGGTACTTGGCATTGGCTTCTCCTAATGTTACTGCTCCCCTGCAGCCTTGCCAGGAGCCAGAATCCCCGTTTGCCCCGGGAGCAGAGTCACTTGGGGGAGCTTCCCACAGCCTGTGTGGCAAGAGGAGAGGGTCCCTCTCCTAGCCCTCAGGATGTGCAGCGGCCATGCTGGGTGTGCCGGTCTGGCCGAGGCAGTGGGGCTGAGAAGAGCCCAGCGTTCCTGTCGGTCTTCCTCAGAACCGCTTCCCCAGTGACTCGCCGTGCCAGGCAGCTCTGAGCCTGCGGTGAAGCCTGTGCCTCCTTGGGTGGTCTCCGCCTTGGTGGGATGGGGGCGATACAGCCCTGGTTTTTTCCTCTGCATTGGGGTGGGATGGTGTAAGCAAACCTAGCCCCGAGCCAGTGGCCAACAGTCTGTGCTGGCACAACTGGCTTTCCCCACGTGCGCGGGGACCATGGAAGTTGCTGCCAGCCGCACTGTCTCCTGTAGAGTTTTCTGAGGCAGATGAGCAAGACCAACCTGGACTTTCTAGCCAAACGGGCCTTCGCAGCCCCTGGGCGTGCACAGGCCTGGGCGCCCCCGGTCTCCCTGCAGTGGAGGATCGTGGTAGCAGAATGAGTCAGTAGGGCCCTAGTCCCCCCTGTTGGGGGGCTCCCCCTGGGGGCTGGAGAGGAGCTGCTAGCCACAGGGAGGGGACTGTGCAAAATGTGAGGGGCTGAGCCACAGGGTCCTTGCTGCCACTGAAGTGGAGGGCCGCTGCTGGGAAGCCGGGGCCCCGGACCACGCTCTTGAGTCATGTGGGGCACTGCGGTCCCTTTCCTAGCCCTCTCGTAGGCCAACCTGCAGGGGTCCTGGTGGCCACGGGAAGGGGGTTCTCTGCTGCCTTCGTGTGGCTCCCTCAGCCGCTTGCTGAAGTCTCTGCTCCCAAGAGCTGCTCTGTAGCGTTTCCTGGTGTTGGAAGGAGCTGGTAAAGACGGTCCCGCTGGGCTTGTTCCTCCTTCCCTCCTCGCCCTTCCTCTTGGCTCAGGCTGGGGCAGGGAGCTCTGCAGCAGGCTGCTCTCGTTCTTTGCACCCCGTCAAGTCCGTGCCCGCCACATGAACGGTTGGCGTTCTCTGTCCCTCCCTAGACGACGTTCCTCCTCGTCCTCCTCCTCCCCGTCCACCTCTTCCTCCTCCTCTTCGAGCTCCCGCTCCAGCTCCCGCTCCCCCCGGGGCAGCGGG